GCTTGAATTTTTTCTTCAGTTCCCCCAGCTTGAGAAATACTGACCGTGTTCTTCCCTTTTGGTTTTCTAACTCCAAATCCCTGCACATTTTATTATAGTCGGTTTCAACTCATAGCAACCCTATGCACAATAGAACAAAACACTGCCCAGACGTATGCTTTCCTCACAACTGTTACATGTGAACCCATTGCTGCTGTCATGGTGCCAATCCATTTCCTTGGGTGTCTTCCTCTTTTTTCACTGCTCCTCCACTTTGTGCATCTTAGTCCTTAAACTGACATCTTTGCTCTTCAACACTCTGAAAGGGTCTTGTGCAGCAGATCTGCCTAACACAATATGCCATCTAATTTCTTGACTGATGCTTCCATGAATACTGATAATGGTTCCAAGCACAATGAAGTCTTTGATAACTTCAATCCTTTCTCCAATTATCATGTTATTTATTGGTCCAGCGGTGAGGACTTCAGTTTTCTTTACATTCAGGTGCAACCCATACTAAAGGCTGTAGTCTTTGATGTTGTTCATCAGTAAGTAAGCTAAATCCTCTTCACAGCAAGCAAGGTTGTATCACCTGCATAACACAGGCTGTTAATGAGTCTTCCTTCAATTCTGATGCCACAACGTGTTCTTAATAAAATACAGCTTCTTAGATTATTTTCTCTGCATAGGGATTGAATAAGTATGGTGAAAGAATACAACCCTGGCACACACTTTTCATGATTTTAAACCATCCAGTATCCCCTTGTTCTGTACACTGTCAATGTACAAGATCCTCATAGAGCATAATTAAGTGTTCTGGAATACCCATTCTTCACAATGTTATCCATGGCCTACGCCATGATCCACACAGTCAAAAGTTGGTACAGTCAATAAAGCACAAGTAACAACTTTCTGATATTCTGTGTTTCCAGCAAAGAGCCCTATGATATTTGTACTTCTCCATCCTCTTTTGAATCTGGTTTGAATTTCTGGCAGTTCTGTCGATGTACTTTTGGAATTACATTCAGCAGAATTTTGAGTGTGATATTGATATTGTTCGATGAGTTCCACATGGTGTTGGGTCACATCTCTTTGGAATGAGCACAAATATGGAACTTTTACGTAGGTTGACTAGGTAGCTATCTTCCATTTCTTTGCATAGTTGAGGGAAAGCCTCCAGTGCTGTATCATTTTGTGTGTGTGTGTGCAAGATTTCAATTCGTAGTCTACCAATTCCTGGAGTCTTGTTTTTCACTTGCTTCAGTGCCGGTTGGATTTCCTTCATTACCACTGGTTTATGTTATTTCTTTAAAATGGTTGAATACCAACCATTTCTTTTTGGTACAGTGACTCTGTGTATGCCTTCCATCTTCTTTTCATGCTTTCTGTATCACTCAACATTTTGCCCACAGAATCCTTCAGTACTGCAAGTCAATAATCATATTTTTAATATTTTCTAACTACTGATCCTTCTTCTCTGTTCTAACCTTTGCATTCCAAATGCCAGTAATTATCAATACATTTTGATTGCTCAATTTCAGACTGAAGTTGGTAAAATTCTTCAATTTCATCATTACTGGCTTTAGTAGTTGGTGCATAAATCTGAATAAGAGTGGTATTAACTGGTCTTTCTTATGTTGTTGTTGTTGTTATGTGCTATGGAGTTGGTTCCGACAACTCATAGTGACCCTGCATAGGGTTTCTGAGGCTGTAAATCTTTATGGGAGCAGAAAGCCACATCCTTCTCCCACGGAACAGCTGGTAGTTTAAAACTGCTGACCTTGCGGCTCGTAGCCCAATTCGTAACCACTAGCTACCAGAGCTCCTTTCTTAAAGGCGTGTGGATATTATCCTATCTCAGGTAGCATTGTACTTCAAGGATACTGAAATGTTATTATTTTTGACAACGAATATGATGCTATTCCTCTTTATTGTGTGCTTCTCAGTATAGTAAATCATGATTATCTGATTCAAAATGGTCAACTGTCGGATAAACATTGGACTCATAACCACAAGGTTGGCAGTTCAAACTCACCAGCCACTCCTGGAAACCCTAACAGGGTTGCTATGAATTGGGAACAATTTGACAGCATACAGCACCAACACAGTAATGTCTAATATTATTGATCTCCATGTGTTCCATTTCATTTTTGACAACTTTCAATTTTCTTAAATTCATATTTCGTACATTCCCTGTTCTGATTATTAATGGATTTTTGCAGATCTTTCTCTTTATTTTGAGTTGTGCCCCCTGAGCAAATGAAGGTCCTGAAAGCTTTACTTCATTCATGTCATAATGGTCAACTCTACTTTGAGGAGGCAGCATTTCTCCTATCATATTTTTAGTGCCACCTGCAGTATGCCTGACAATTTTCCACTGCTATTCATAAAGGTTTCGGTGGCTAAACATTTAGAAGTAGTTCACCTCTCCTTCTTCCTGGTATGTGTTAGTCTGACAGCTCTGCTAAAACCATGGGTGACATAACTGGTATTTAGAATATTGGTGGCACAGCTTCTAGTATCACAGCAAGACACAGTCACCACAGTATGACAAACTGACAGAAGGGTGGTAACAGTCATACAGTAATGACCTAAAATACAGTTTATCAACAACAGCACTACCAACATTTGGGCAGCGTCACTTTTTGTTCTTGGGGGATAGTCTATGCACTATAGGATATTTAGCAGCATCCCTAGTCTCTACCTGCTAGATACCTGTAACAAAGCCCCATTCTCTATCAGTTGTGACAACTTAAAAGGTCTCTAGACATTGACAAATGTCTCACGGGCCACAAAAATCGCCCCAATTGAGAACTAGTACCTGAGCGATCCAAGTTCCCTATGAGTTCTTAAATTTCATAATCCAGAAATAAATTCTTTGTGCATATTTCGATTGTCTCAATTGCTATCATAGGAAATCAATTTATTAGAGAAAAATATTCTTTCATATACATTTTCATGGTAAACAGAGTAACTCTAAATGTTCTACCCTTATTTTAATTAATCAAAGTGGATTTTTAAAAACAGGAAAATACTAACAAACCTCCATTTACTTGACTTTTCCGTCTTACTCGAGATATCTGTTTGTTAGGTTTTTCTCCTGTTCTTGGTGTTGATGTGATTAAATTATTATCTATATCACGTTCAATTCTACTCCGTTTCGAAGGATTTTCTCTCTCTTCCTTAACATGTAAGAGAAAAAACACATTCATTAAGCATATAATTCTGCCTTATAGATCACATCTTAAAAATGATTAATTTGGTATAATAATCCTGGAGAAACAAATGTAATCAGTATCCAAGAGTAACAGAAAATACAGGAGAACTTGACAGTATTTTGAGAGTATCTTCTAATGCAGTTTATAATACATAAATATAATTACAGCATCCCCATAATTTATATTCTTTCCCCAGGATCCATTAAATTTCCCATGGTATTGAATCATACAATATGTTCTGAATTTTAAGCAATTTTCCCTTAATCTTAGAATTGCTGTAAAGAGCATAGTTTGCTTCCTTGTGCACTCAGGGTTGGAGTTCTACTGGAACTTGCTGGCATATTGTTGTTGTTGTGAAGTGCCACTGAGTCAGTTCTGACCCACAGCGACCCTATATAGTGTTTCCAGGGAGCAGCGGTGAGCTTCAACTGCCGACTTTGCAGTTCAAATGGCTTTACAGTCTGGCACATTAACCCATAGCGCCAAATGAACACAAAAAGAATAGGACCTGCCACTGCCACACCCACTGTCAAAACCAGTACTATAATTGTCGAAATTAACACCAAGTTTTAAAGTCCTATAAAACATGATAGATTATATTATTCTATATGGCCTTATAATTCCTTGTGCCTTATAACTATTTGCTGTTTTATGTATATAACCAATATTCTTGTTAAACAGGAGTAATTTCTCTACTTAATACTACTCAGTATAGAATTTTACTTCTATCCAGTAATTTTTCTAATTTTAGGTGATTCCAACAAAAACAATATAGCATTTTACAACAGGATAGTACCTCAGTGACCTAATTCAACAAAATTCTTTAAAAATCTAATGCTTGCCATTCCCTTGCATTTTTAAATCATCAACAGGAATCCTGATCTTTTTTTTTTTCTTCTGAAAGAAAAAAAGGTGAAAGAGCTTTTGCTTGTACAGAAGCCAAACAGCAGGAATTTTCACTTTCCTGATGAAGTATAAAATTCAACTCCCATTATTAAAAATTCCTTTGACTAGGAAAAAGCATGTAGAAACCAACAGGCCATGTTATACTGGCATTATTCCCCTATTTCCCAATAGTGTACAAGTTAATTCATGTGTGGAAGAACCATATACTGTAGCAGAGCAGCCTATGCTTACAGTCAATTAAGAAGACATTCAAATACTTTAGAGCTTATGTCTCACAAGTAGACATTATCAAAGTCAAAATTTTACAGTAATTCACAATAAATTCTTATTTCAATATAAGCATTCAAACAACTGATGACACTTCAATTCTTAAAGACAACTCATCACCTAACCCTTGTCTTGCGGACAATTTTACATATGGTATGATTTTAGGGGGAAAAAAAGGGTGAAACATGGTTTCTACATTACTATATAAGCCATTTTACTATATTGAATAGTCCTACAATGTCTTCTCTGGAATCTGTAGCTTTCAAAGTAACCTCTAAGACATTCTTTCAAGGAGAAAATTCTGGGAAAGTGGTAGAGTTGGCATAGTACTTAAATCTCTTGTATCTTAAAGTAAAAACAGACATAGCACTAAAATAAATAAAGTCGTTGCCATTGAATACATTAACTCATGGCTACTACATGTCTTAAACAGTGAAAACTGCTTCAAAGTTTTCTTGGCTGCTATCTTTACAGAAGCAGATTGTGAGGTCTGCAGCACTGCTGGGTGGTTTGAACTGTTAATCTTTAGGTTAATTGTTGTGGTGCACCATCAAGTCAACTTTAACACACAGTGACCCTGCAAAGGGTCAAATCTTTATGAGAGAAGAAAGCCTCATCTTTCTCCTGCAGAATGGCTGGTGGGTGTGAACTACTGACCTTGTGGTTACTAGTCCAGTGCTTATCCTACAGTACCACATCAGGGATCTTGGTATTAGTACTCAAGTGTAAACTGTCTGCACCAGCCAGGTATCTGGCAGAGCACTAAAGAGTCACCAAAATACCAAAGGCAACATTTACAACGAAACCAGAGACAAGGTAATTCCCACAAACCCCACAATGCATGTGGATGACAGCAAGCTACCAATAGCCATAACATTTGAGTACAATAAACACCAGTGCAGAAGAATATAGAGGGAAGCAACTATGTGTGTGCAGAAGTTAACAAAAGACCCTAGAAACGGCTACCACGTTATTTCTCAGAAAGCACGGCAGGCGACTTTGAAAAGAACAGAAGAAACACGTGCTGTTCAATAGAACAGCAAAGGTATCCATGATGAGAACTAAAATGACTGCAGTGGAGAAGTGCCTATGAACTCTTGAAATTGACCAACCGTGGCTCCTCTCAGGTCCCACACTGAGCAGAAACTGACAGGAGTGAAATAAAAATTCAGTTGGACAGGCACAGTAGAGAAGAAGAAAAGTAAAGTTCCAGATAAATGTAGACTAGAGGTTAATAAAGAGATAGGAAAACTCAAAACAGTAACTCATTGTGTGAGAGGGATTTTTACAGTTTGTGGAAAAATTCCATTATCTTTGCATTGGTTTTCCATGAAATTTTTGAAGCCCCTTGTATTTTTCAATACATTACAAAAATAACAAAACACATTAGAAAAGCTATCCCAAATCACACATAAATGAAGCCTCCCTTGATAAAATGCAGAAGTAAAAACTACACAAAATTATAATAAAAATCACAAGACACAAAAATAACACCTCTAGGTAAAGAAAGGAGCTCTAGCAGCATATTGGTTACAAGTCAGGTTGCTAATCTCAAGGTCAGCAGTTGAAACTACCAGGTGTTCCCGAGGGAGAAAAATGAAGCTTTCTGCTCCCATAAAGATTTACAGCCTCAGAAACCCTGTACAGTCAGTATGAGTTGGATCCAACTACAAGGCATATAACCACTACCACCACAGGTAAAGGAAAAATATCAAAAAGACATTAAACAGAAAAGAGCAAAATTAAAACCTATCTCAAAACACAAACACATTCAGAAAATAATGTATCAGGAGTTAGGAAAACTCAGAAATGAGGGCTATCACTAATGAAAGAATTAATGGTGGTGGTGGTGGTGGTGACTTACTATGGAGTTGGTTCTGACTCAGAGTGACCCTATATATTCTGAGGCTGTAAATCTTTACAGGGAACAGAAAGCCTCTTCTTTCTCCTGCGGAATGGCTGGTAGTTTCAAACTTGAGGTTAGCAGTCCAACTTGTAACCAAAAGAAATAGCAGTAAAAGACAAAAATCATTTCAGAAATAAAGACTAAAATAGAAGGAATAAACACAATAATTATAACTTAAGTTGGTGGTTCAAACCCACCCAGTGGCTCCATGGGAGAAAGATGTGGTCATTTGTTTCCATAAAGATTACTAGTCAAGAAAACCCTATGGTGCAGTTCTCCTATCACATGGGGTCACTATGAGTGAGAACAGACTCGATGGCACACAACAATATACCATAGAAGCAATCAAAAATACAATGAAATAAATAGAAATGAAAAGAATTAAAGAAAATTAGACAAAGACACACAAAAAAGCCAGTGCTCCTTAAAGAAAAAAGCAAACCTGAGCAACTGAATAAATACTAGAAAGTGTCTCTCAGATAAATATAATTGAAATTACAGATAGAAACAACACACTGTTACCTAATAAGAATGATCCAGAACAATCAATACAAAGACATATACTGTAAGATTATTAGAATTTAAAGGGAAAAAATATATTGCAAAACCAAGTCATACAAGAAAAAAAACATTTTTTTTAAGTACAAGAAACTCAAGAAAAAGAGTAAGAAATTTTTCTTCTGCTTCCCATAATACTCAGCTGAAGAACAAAAGGTTAAGTGGGTAAGTTTAGTGGAATAAAGTAATGCTTTTCTTGAACTTCCATTATATGTTTTACGTGTAATACTGTAAAAAGTAAAATAACCCCAAAACATACATCTTCTTAAAGCAGACACTAGCAACAGCAGATTTTTCATCTTTACATACTTACAGAAAAAACCTAAACTTCACTTTTAATGATGTAAGAACAATGTAAAACCATTACCTTGGGTGTGCTTCCTTTAATGAATTTTTTAATTGAAGACAACAAGCCGGTTTCATTCTTCGGTGGTTTTTCTCCTCCTGAGGGCAAGCTATCATCAACCTCTGAATATTTCCTCTTTGCTCTGGCTGTACGTTGTGTTTGGATTGGACTGGATTGTTGAGAAGCTTTTCGTGTTCTCAGTCTCATTTTTTATGGGTGCAACATGTAAAACTGTAAGAGAAAAATAACAAGAGTTATTAAAATTAAATCTAGTATACTCACAGAAGCCTGGCCAGTGTAAGCAGTTTGCAATTTGCTACCCCAGAGGTTGGTGGTTCAAACTCATTCAGCAGCTCTGCAGAAGAAAGCCTGTTGAACTCTTCTGTGACGATTCCAGCCAAGAAAGCCCTATGGAGCAGTGATACGCTATGACACTGGGGGTCATCATAAATCAGGAGCTGACCCAATGACAGTCATCAATACTTGTACTGCCTATCTTATATAATAAAAATCTCTTGTTTAAAAAAAGTTCAGCTACACAGTGCCATTACCAACTTCTTCTTTCTCTAAAAGGGATCATATTAGAGAGTCCCGGATAGAGTGGGACAGGATATAGAGCAAAATTTAAATTTAATAATAATAAAAGACCAGGTTTACTGGTCAGAAAGAGCTTGGAGGAACCTGAGACTATGCTCCTAGATCTGGAAAGTTGACTCGCCCTCAAGACCAAACAGTAGATAGGTATATAGGGGGGCAACAACACTAGTAAGGTATGCTCGCCATGGAATGGTTCATCATTCAAAATCAAAAGGGCAACATTTCCCTAAGGACAAAGTTGAGAAGGGACCGGAAGGGGGTGGTGGAATGCAAGTAGGAACCACAGGAAGGAAGCGGAATAACTTGTTGCCTGGAGGGGATTGTAATCATTGAGATGAAACAAAGCGTATGATTTGTTGAATGTAAAACGGATGGTCTTGACTGTAAACCTTCACTCAATTCACAATAAAATTTATAAAAAAAACACACAAGCAGTTTTCCCAAGGACTGAAATACAACACTATATTTTAAGGGGCACTGCCGATCTTGCAGTTCAAATAGCTTTGCAGTCTAGCGCATTAACCCACAGTGCCACACCAGGACTCACATAGTATCACACACATACTATCCCAAGTAACTTTGCTAGCAATTTCTTAAATCTTATATTCTATGATATAAAGTGAGGAGTACTGTGGCTCTAACAACAACTGTGGCTCTGCAGGATAAGTACTAGACACGGCTCAAGATAAATAAGGTATTTGGTTGGTTGGTTATATGCCGTGGAGTCGGTTCCGACTCATAGTGACTCAGTACAGGGTTTCTGAGGCTATGAATCTTTATGGGAGCAGAAAGCCTCATCTTTCTCCCGTGGAACAGCTGGTAGTTTCGAACTTCTGACCTTAAGGTTCGCAGCCCGATTTGTCATAACTACGCTACCAGAGCTCCTTAAATAAAATATTAGAAAAGGCTATAAACTGTAAATGATTAGTAAGTGGTTCACAATACAGAATGAATTTACAAGCAATTCTAATGAATTCAGCACTCCAAAACACTAAGAGATGTAGAAACTTCCAGAATTTAGGACATTCAATGATTTAGAAGATGTACTTTTACTAATCCAAGAATCATACACAAATTACAGTCATACATATATAATCTCTCTTTGACACTTCGGTGTATGCTCCCTCCATCCATGTTGTTTAATTACAGTCATACATATATAATCTCTCTTTGACACTTCTGTGTATGCTCCCTCCATCCATGTTGTTTAATCACTCATTGATCCAACAAATACTTGGTGAACATTTCAACAAAAAAGAACCCACCAGAAAAGTTCCAAAATACCTTTACAAATAACTAGACATCCCTCCCTCAAACAAATGATGTTCAGTTTTAAGTTGCCACCTCCCCACGTACCCAAAAATGAGACCTCTAGTGAAAAATCATGCAAATAAGGTATACAGAATCCTAATGAGGGAGTTGGTCAGTTTTGTTTTCCTGAGAAGCTTAAAAGAGAGGCAACCCCAGAACAGAGAGGGACCTCACTATCATCAAGAAAAAAGAGCTAGTAGTGTGCTTTGGACCCAGAGTCCCTGTACTAAGAGTTTACTAGACCCAAGAAACACTTAGAGCTTTAACACTGAAGACATCAAGTGGTAAAAGTGAAACAGTGTTAACAGAACCACATGTACATAAGATGGCACGTTGGGCTTCTACAATAGATAAGGCGATCCAAAGAGCCAAAGAGCTGAGCACCTTCATTCAGACTGAGGCTTCCTGGTTAAGAGTAGTTCCTACAAACACGAGCATGTATTGGTGGGGCAAAAAGCTTTGTAACACCAGCTGAGCAGTGCAGAGCTAAAGATACTGAATGTCAGAGAGGCCTGTTTGGGAGCATAGCTGTCCTGATAGGAAAAATATATCATGATTTGTACCTGATCCCGAATTGTAACCTGTTATTTCCTTAATAAAGGAAACAACAATAGTTTTGCAGTATCCTACAGATACCTCCAAGGAGCTCTGGTTGCGTAGTCATTCCAAGTCAAGCTGCCAACCTCAAGGTCAGCAGTTTGAAATTACCAGCTGTTCAGCAGGAGAAAGATGAGGCTTTCTGCTCCCGTAAAGATTTACAGCCTCGGAAACCCTGTACAGGGTCGCTATGGGTCGGAACTGACTCGACAGCAAATAACAAGAACAACAACATGAGAGGAACCGACTCCAAGGCGTACTACCACCACCACCACTTTCCCTAATAAACTCCATAAATCATGAGTATTGTCTGTGAATTATCTGTGGCCATTACAATGGATTATTAAATCACACAGAGAAATAGAGAGTGCCAAGGGAGGGACAGCTGGGGTCAAAACTGGTAGAAAGGTTTGTGCGCGGAAAGATTATCTGACCTTCACCTCAAAGAAATCAGATTTGGGGTAATGACTGTGAATCTCTCTCCTTTGTCTCCTGAAGTTACAGGAAGCCACCCTGTGGTACTATAGGCTAAGCACTGGACCATGGGGTCTGTTGCAAGGTCCGTGGTCCAAACTCACCAACCGCTCCTCCGAAACCTAGAGTCACTAGAGTTGGGACCGACACAATGGCACTTTACGACAACAAAGCATGAGTGGGGAACGCCCAGCCCACAAGCCACAAAAGGCCCCCCAAATAATTTGGTCTGGCCTTGCCAAGGCAACCTTGTGATTTGATGGCAGTTCCAGCCATCACATTGGTAGTGGTGGTGTGTTGTGGAGTCAATTCCAACTCACAGTGATCTGAATAGGGTTTCCGAGGCTATAAATCTTTACGGGAGCAGAAAGCCTCATCTTTCTCCTGTGGAGCAGCTGGTAATTTCAAACTGCTGACCTCATGGTTCACAGACCGATTTGTAATCACTATGCTACCACATTAAGGAGCTCTGGTAGCGTAGTGGTTACGAATCGGGCTGCGAACCTTAAGGTCAGCAGTTCGAAACTACCAGCCGCTCCGCGGGAGAAAGATGAGGCTTTCTACTCCCGTAAAGATTTACACCCTCGGAAACCCTGTACAGGGTCGCTATGGGTCGGAACCGACTCGATGGCACTTAACAACAACAGCAACAACAATGCTACCACATTAAGGATGAATTAATGAAATGCTTAACCAAATTTAACAGGCTAATTTTTAAGTTGATGATTCTGTATTGGTTGTTAGGTGCCCTTGAGTCGGTACCGATTCACAGCAACCCCTATGCACAACAGAACGAAACACTGCCTGGTCCTAGGCTAACCTAACAAATACTGCCACACTTGAGCCCTTTGATGCTGTCACTATGCCAATTCATCTTGCTGGGGGTCTTGCTCTTTTCTCTATGACCTTCCACCTTACCAAACATGATAATCTCTCTCCTGTGATGGGTCCTACCTGACAATATGTCCAAAATAAGAGAGACAAGTCTGGCCATCCTGGCCTTCAAGGAGCACTCTGGCTATAATTCTTCCAACACAGATTGGTTTGTTCTTTTGGCAGTCCATGGTACTTTCAATGTTCTCTTCCAACACCATTAACTCAAATGCATCAATTCTTTTACAATCTTCCTTATTCAATATCTAACTTTCGCATGCATATGAGGTTACTGAAAATATCATGGCTTGGGTTGGGCACATCTTAGTCCTTAAAATGACATCTTTGCTCTTCAACACTTTAAAAAGGTCTTAACAGCAGATTTGCCTAATGCAATATGTGGTTAGATTTCTTGGCTGCTGCTTCCATGAGTGTTGATGGTTAATCCAAGAATGAAGCCTTTGACAACTTCAATCTTTTCACCGTTTATAAGAATGTTGTTTATTGGTCCAGTGGTGGGTAAGGATTTTTGTTTTCTTTACATTGAGATGCAATCCATACCAAGACCATGGTCTTTAATCTGCATCAGTATTTTAAATCCTCTTCACTTTTAGCTTGCAAGATTGTATCATCTTCATATCGAAGGTTGTTAATGAGACTTCCTCCAATCCTGATGCAACGTTTTTCTTCATAGAACCCAGCTTCTTGGATTATTTGTTCAGCATACAGGTTAAATAAGTATGGGAAAGACTATAACCCTATCGTACACCTTTCTTAATTTTAAACCATTCAGTGTTCCCATGTTCTGTTTGAACAACTGCTTCTTGGTCTATGTACAGGTTCCTCAT